CCGTTAAGTGATAAAATCACCGAACGGGCAGTGTCGTACACTCGATTGCTCTTGGCTGGCAATCCTGAAGTATCACATCTTTCATTTTGAGTGCTTTTCAGATCTCCACTCGGAACTGACAGAACCGAAAGGCACCGTGCAACTGACGAAGCTGAAAGGACGAAGCACGTCCATTGCACTGCATAAGTGCCATGATAGATGTTATGAAAGGCCTGAAATACCATCAAACTATGTTGTTTTGAGCATAATCTGAAAAAAAGACTCTCGACTTAAAAGGTATATGCTAATCTTATTAAGAAAAGGTCATTCTTCAACGTCTGAATAGATAAGGTTCAGCCTGATTTTCTCAACAGTTCAGGAAAACAGACTCGATTAGTACTGAGCATCGTTCACATTCATAAAGAAGCCGACCATCTTTGAGTAGTAGCTAAACCAACAGGCATTAGTTGGAAGGCGTTTATGGTTGATGGTTTGAGGGACACGAATTAAGTGTAGGCGATGTTAAATTGTTCAAAAACTGGGAAAAACGACTCATGCGAAATTGAATTAAAAAACTGAGTAGGGTGGGAATTGTGGAAATAGAATAATACGGAAAGAGAATCAAGACGCAAGTTTAGTAAGAAGTCTGTTTATGTCAGCACAAAGTGGAGAAATATATGATTACTGCATCGCCTAGTGAGATAATGGAAATCGTGAATACTTGTGGTCCTTGTGGAGATTTGTGGTTCCATCAATTTTTGAAGGTTTTGGCCTAGGGTTAGGCTTAGGTTCAAAGCCTAAGCCTAAGCCATATTCGAAAAATTGATGAGACCACAACTCTTAATTAGCAGCGAGAAATTTAATGCTTGAAGATGTCGAGTATTAAACAGATTTTTCTGCAGAAACTTCCCTCTGGCCCATAAATTTCACCATGGAAAAATGCAAAACATTTGAGTAGTGACTTTTCTAATAATCATCGGTCTTCGTGGATGACGAATTAAAAACAGCTATGCAAATGAATGAAGGTCTTGACTCGTACATTCAACTTCTATGAAGACGGATGTACAAAATACCAAATTTTCATCTCTCCACAATATTGCGTCAATTATACCATTTTCAGTGCAATTCATATTTAGTTCAAATCATTGAATAGGCAGGTATGCTTTGTGATCGACCGGTTGACGAATATTTTTGCTTTGGACTTCAAATTGGATGCGCATGTTCATACGATTCTATACTCGACTTATGACTCAAACTTTTTGCACAATTTCCAATGAAACATATCGGCTGTTTCTTCATATATCCGTATGTGAACACCACTAGCAGAAAGCAGTATTTTATCGGTCTCATTGGACATAACGATTGATATACTTTTCACTGCAATCTTTATCCAAGTCTCATGAACAGTGAAAATTCTCCCAGCGTTTTGAGTTAATCGAGCCCATACTAGTCGCGTGTTATTTCGTGACATTTGTTCAGCGTTCAGGTGAACATCTGAGGTTTATTTTAAGCAACAGTCCTCTAACCCTCAAGGTCAATATATATTGTCCAGCAAAAGGCGTCGGTGCTTCACTTGTTTCCGTCTAACAGAGGAGAACTCGGCACATGGAAAAAAACGGTCGTTTCACGTTAGCCAAAATCTCATTTTGACTCTCCTGTGTTCGTTTTTAAATGTGAGCCTTGAAAGGATCTTTTCCTCTGGACGTAGACAAATGAATATCCAGCTCCATTCGCTGCACAAGAACTACTTTTGGAAGAGTGTTAGTAATCATTTGAAAGTTTCTTTAGCTAGTGCGATGCGTAGTCGTTTTTTAAAAAAAAACCTGCTGTAACGCTGTATATTCAAAAACGAAATTAAGCCTTACATTGGTTGCGCAGTATAACCACTACTTCGCTGGAAGCACGAAAAGCACATGAACGCCTACAGAAAACTTTTCAGTATCAAAGGCAGACGTTTGATCTGGATCTATTTTGAAGTGGAGAAGCAATTTATTATGAAATAATAAAAGTCACACTTCCATGTGATCCGCTAAATCGCCAATCGATCTAGCCACATCTGTCCCGACCCTTCCCCATACTGTAGATTAGTCAAAACACACATGCTCGCTTATGTTAATCAAGCTTATTTGCCTCGCTCCTCTGCAGAGAAACCGTCTTTCCGAAAAAGAAACAGAGCCTCTAAATTTTACACTATCGAATGATTATAATAGATCAAAAAAGAACTCTGTACTGCGAGAAGTGTGCTCGTGTGAAGCCCAGATGCCTTCTTTTCGCTGAAGCACTATAAGAAGACTTTTCAACAAGGGGTTATGTACGTGTAAGTCAGATATTTAAGCTTTCAATGATCACTAAGACTCTTATGAAAAGTTCTTTTCTAACGGAACGGGACGAATATTCATTTGTCGCCTTCTAATGGAAAGCACTCTTCGAAGTAATAAAGTGGAGTCATCAGCTACAGAAAATCCAAATTTCTTTGCATGGAAACAAAACAACTCCTATCCTGCGAGCAAAAATTCACAAAATCACACACTTTTTTTAAACAGAAAATCATCAAAGTTCACTATGATTAGAACATCTTGACTTGAATTTTCTAAGTGGATATTGTCCACGCATGGGACAAGTATCAAATATTAAAAGCAATCGCTTTATTATGATAATCTATAATTTGTGGTTACAAAGCAAAATTAACATTATCACTGATAATCGATCATTTTTTGTGAATGGCCGGCGATTCCTTAGGAGTAGCAGGTTTACGCATCCTAACTGAAAACATTGAATTTACTTTAATACTTTACCGAAATCTTGTGTGAAAACACCACGAATTTTTCGTGATGAATTCTGGTAAACAAAAATTTCTCCTGCAATGCTTATGATAAATCGACTGTTTCACTCAAGTAGACGCTCTCATAGGGCTTAATTCATTCTCTTTGGTGATTAAGTGTGTTGCAAAGAGTCAAGTGACAATTTACTAGAATGCAAGTCAAAGGGAAAGTTTGAGCTCTTTTACATTCCGCAGCTATTGATTGATATAAAAAGTTGTGGGAAAAAATTTCTGTTCACCAAAATATATCACTTCAACAAACACGGCATCAAAAAATATGTTTTTCATAATGATAAGAAATTCATTACCGCAACCGCACGTGATTTCTTGCAAATCATTTGAAATGTAGCTTATGTACAGTGTATACATATCTATATGTACATAAATACTTAATCTGCAAATACATTACACTTGTAAATGCAAAAAACCCTTGCAGTATCTATAGCCGGCATCCGAATTATACTACGTGAAAGCTTCATTACTTGAAATCCGTGTTTTCTAATATTTCAATCCTAATCACTTCAAAGGAGGGTTTTCATAAACTGGATCTTTTCATTATACTTCTGGAAATCAACTCATTCGGTTATAAGTGTGAGATTTATGCGTAGCTTATTGACACAGTCACCAAAAGCGTATGAGAACATTATGCTCCACACTAAGGATAAGAGAACACCGGAATCTTCCCAAAGAACCGAGAAAAACCAATTTATTTAACAGAAATCACTTCCGTCCAAGGTTTAAACAAAGAAGGCATGTGTGTGAAAAGTAAAAACTCACTCGCCCGCAAAACAGTGAGCTGTCAACGAAAATCAGACTAAAATCGCCGAACGTGGAGGATCTCTGCTGTTTGGTTGTCTGATACGCGTGCATTTCATTTAAGAGCCATTAATATGGCATAAAACGAAAAATGTCCATATATATGTCCCTTCGCGGACCATGAGGGTCATTATGACCTCTATCTGAGCGCTCCCTTCGGACGGTTACGAAGATTGGTGTGTGCTTCAATGAATATTGCATTAATTAAGTTCTAAGAAGAGCATTACCAACAAGAAAAAATAGAATATTACTGAAGAGACTCTTTTACAAATGACTTTTGCAAGATTAACGCAAATGCTTCTCAAATTTTTTTTTTTCAAGAGAAAAACCACAGCAGCGCTAAAAGGAAAGTATCTCCAGCTGTTGTTGAACATTTTCTGTTATCCCTTTGATATTTTTGTAGTCATTAAATAGCTTAAAAAATTTTTTTCGCAATAGGGATGTATTCAAAAAGATCTTTATAGTGCGTTCTACTAATAAATGAAAGATAACGTTTTACAATCACAGTTTATCTTTTTTAATTCACAGCGGATATTTGGGAAAATATAGTAAGATTTTGATTCCTACAAACTTTTTTTTTGCTAACGAAATTTGTCCATCATTGAAAGACGTCTTGTAAACGTATTTCTTAATATAATAACGCCCAGTCTTTATGAAAATCCGTGCTTTTGAAAAAGAATTACTGTCGCATTCCATAACATCTTGAGCATTGCACTAGTGAGCCCTTCGGTTTATTCTAGAAAAGAGTCTACTCCACTAGACTATTAGTAATCCTTTAGCAGCTGAAATCAAGCAAATTTGAACGGTGCATTTTGTTTCTCAAATGGCTTAATTTTTGCACTGTAGCAGTCGAAATAAAATTTTGTTCCACATTTTGGAATTTATCGTCGTATGAAGTTTTTCCATAAACTACCAATAACCATTAGATAGCACAAGTCTCAACAATTTCGAAATTGTATTAAATTTTGGAGAAGACTTTAGAGGGCTGTAACACTTGAAAAAAGATTGAGAATCGAACTTCAAAAGTGGGATTTTGCGACACTGGCCCCAAGTCACCGCGCTTTTCTTGACGTATCGATCATCTGCGAACGCGTAATCTTTTTTGGCCACTACAGTGCAATAAGGAGTTCTTTTCAAAAACAATGTTACTATGGAAATGCGAGATTTATGCCATCCAGCAGTCTGTGAAATTCTAGCGCAAAAGCTTTGTTCAGCGATAAATGCTTGAAGTTGAAAAATATTTTTGTTTTCACTGTTAATTCGCACTAGGGAAGCCATTCTGGAAAAAGTATACCCTGGAAATTCCTAGTATTCTTACTGCATTTCTCGCAGTGTTATAATGTTTCCTATATACCAAAGAGAACTGAGTGGTGAGTAATAACACGGTATCAAGCGGGAATCGAACCCGCGATTTATCCATACCGGGGACGCGTGCTACTACCACTACATCGCCGAGGCACATTTGCGCCACCGCTCATTCTTCAACATCTCTATGTTGACTATCAGCCACCAAACTTTGGCCAGTTTGATGGCGTATGCGATTTAGCTTTATAAACCCAGTTGAGCTGACAGCCATTGTAATGATGACACTCAGAATTTCTAGTATTTTTACTGCATTTTTCGCAGCTTTTAAACGGTTATTGGCACCTTTAAAAGAATCAGAAAGCGTGTTTATCTAAGAGGTGAAAACAGGATGAGGACATTGAAAGAGATCCAAATTTGCAAAGCCTAATATTCTATCGCCTGCCACAGCACTCTATGGAGTTCTTTTCAAAACCAAGTACATCGTTGAAATTTCCAATACGTTCCTCATCTAATAATATTGATTCTTATGAAGAAAAATTTTATCCGGCGATAAATGCCTAGGTGTGGAACAAAATCGTATTTCGACTGTTGCAACGCAAAAAGCACGCCATTCAAGAATCAGAATAAGTTCTTCAAATTCAGTTGATTTTAGCTACCGAATGGTCGCCAAAAACTTTGACAAGAGTAAAAGATAGAAGATATAAAAGATATGAAATATAGAAAAAAGGGCACAAACAGGGTGGGGAAAACGGGAAAGAAGCCGTATCTCTCCATCTCTTCTTCGCATATCGCAGGTATGAATAAACATTTCGGAAGGGAACTACATGTCAATCTGAGAAATTGGAATTCAAAATTCATTAGTAGTCAAAAAATATTCAGAATTGTCGATGAAGTGGGATCACATGCAATAAACAGCACAGTTTTTGACGAACTATCCAATCCTCTGCTATCGACCGCTCTCTTACAGACCCGCTCAGAAGGTCTGTAAAAGAGCGGTCGTTAGCAGAGATATGATTCATTCTTAAAGCCGCAAGCTCACTGCCGGTTACCACAACGTCAGTTAATACTATCGTCCGACTTGGGGTGATTATTTTTTACTCGGTGTCAATTCCTTTAGAGGATTATTTAGCCTCAAGGCATCGACGGAACCGAGGGAGCGAGCTACTGATGAGTCCCAATAGGATGGAACAGGCGCCTATATGGCACTAGACCTATCGGCTCAAAACAAATCATATCCTTATCGAACTATTCATTGTTTTCCAATTTTCAGCCACTATGATAAATTTTATGTATTTTATGGAGCAAAGTATACGAAAACTGAAAGAAATGAAGATAAATCCGTCTGAATTGTAGGCAAGCATGAATAAAATAACACAGAAATGTTGGAAATGTTCGATAAAGGTTGCAAATTAGCCTTTCAAAAAATTGGTATTCGCCCTCTGAAAATGTGGTTCATATATAAAGCAATTAAGCTATTTCCAATTAAAATTGACCTTATTGAAGTCTCTTCTACAATTTTCGACCATCGACTGGCGGAGAAATTCTATTTTATTGACGAAAAATTTGTGAATTTGTTTACAGACCACCGCTTTAGCATTTGAGCACGCGCCGGTAACCTCTTCGTAGCCGTCCGAAGCGCCCGCAGCAGCAAAAAATGGCGCGGTTGGTAAAGGGGTACTATACAACAGCTGTTATGTATATGCAAAACTTTATGGTTGCGGTGATGAAATTTCACAGCACTTACAAAACGAGCGACATTCATAGAAGTTTTTCTTGTTGAAGTTGTTCATTTTGATAGAAGAAGTTTCTTTTAGACTTTCAGCAATCAAATAACAACTTATGAAATGTGGATGTATAATGCCGACTAGCTTAGGAAAAGGTGTTCTTCAGTAATTCGTCACTTGCTTATTTCCAGCAATCATCGTTGCAAAAAAGGCACAATTAAATCTGAATATTCACATTGACGAAAGCATATGTTATGACCAATTCATTCTGCCTAAGTCTCTTGAGATATATCATCTTCCGATAGCAAAAGAAAACTCCACAGTTGTCAAATTTAGCGTTAAATCAGAGGTGTCTCTGCCTCTTCTCTCTATCCACAATATTCGCGCCGCACCCTCTCTTCTACAGCAATGGTCTCCCGTTTAGACAAAATTTCGACTGAAAGAGGCTTTCTGTATATATCTACGAGTAAATCAAAGAGAATAATCTTTTGACAAGCCACATATGATATAAATCTCCATATTTCAAACTAGTGATTTATCACAAGGACTGCAGTAAAGCTTTTGCTCACCAAAGTATGTCGTTGAGAAAAACTTTGACACTCATAAGGTGTCACCTCGTTGTGAGAGTTTAAACAAAATTAGGACCTATGTAGCACACCAATCCCTAGTCGATAAGTATTCTGATACTTTCTGTCTATCCAGTCCCTGATCCAGCGCTTGTGAAAAAAATATTTTTTGGTGAATTTTAAGTCTGAGTAGTCATTCGATAGCTCAAATTCTACAGAATATGCAAATGCAATTTGTTTTGTGAAACAACTGTTATATTGAGCTGTAACAACAGAAATAAAATTATATTTCTCATTGGAAGATCTCTCGCGTAACAATGCTATCTTTTTAGACTTCTAGCAAACAGTCGACAGATCAAATCTCAGGAATCCTAATGATGTAATTGGTTTTTTAAAAGGATCATGATGCGCTGTGGCAATCAAAAGAGGAGAAGAGTGTATTTCTCAAATTTGGCAGATGAAAAAGCGCGGTGGCTTGACGTGTCTGTTGCGAAATCCTTATCTATATACGGGCAAAGCACGGTTATTTGGTTTCAATGTTGAGCAAAACATAATATTTTTTCGGCTACTGCAGCGCACCAAATAGGTCACTTTAAGAACCGAATACATTGCTGGAATTGGCGAGATTCATGCTATCAAATGGAGCTAAAAGCTCAAAGAATAAGTTTTGGTGAGTGAGAAAATGTTCGGATTGAAACATAATTTCATTTTCGCTGTAACAGTGCAATATTTGATATTGGAGCTATCACATAATTACTATGACTAAAAAAAAAAAGCAAAAGGCGCGCTTTTTCTGAGGATCGAGAAAAGGTGCGGATTGTGGAGATGATCTGAGTTTGCGAATCATAATCTCCTGTTGATAGCTACAGCGCAACAAAAAGTCCTTTTCATGAATCAAGTTCATTGTTGGAATCCGCAAAATTCATGCCATCGAATGATTTTCAAAAATCTACAAAAAAAGCTTTGTGCAGCGAAATTATTCTCATACGCAACGCAATTTTATTTTTGTTGTTACAGACAGCGCAATAAATAAGCTGCTTCGAAAATAAAGTACATTTTCAAGTTTTTTGAGACTTAAGCTGTCAGGTGACTACTCAGAATTCAGAAACCACCGAAAAATATTTTTTGAAGACCGCGGAACTAGGACCGAATAATCTAAATGATCCGAATTTTTAGTGAGTTTTTGCTTCCTACATTGGAACTGTTCGAACGTATGAGGAAAATAGGCTGTGATCTACTAACATGATGTTTCAGTGTCTTTACCTGATCACTGAGTTTCGTCATTTCCCGAACTATAATTCTATTCATTGGTCCAATATCTTCTGTCCCAAATTATGTCAAATGGCAATGGATTAAAGTTCAATTTGCCACTGTTGATCAACGGAAAAACTTTCACAATTGCTCTCTGAAGCTCACCGGAGGTAAGAGCGTTGAAAATTTTCGGTTTTTTTTAACATCTTCATAAGACGCTTCGTACTTATGGAAGCATCAGATGATCCGGACGACTTTTCCTCCTTTTTTTTCTCGCTTTTGATTAGCGGTATATTTTCAGTTTTTCTCCGATTATTTGCATCATTTTCTGAAATTATATAGGTATGAGAAAAGTTCATAGAATAATAACATATTTCTGCTTTAGAAGTTTTCTAAATGTCACGCCTTTATGATAGGCAGATTTGGAAACTTTTCTTCCTCAAATTTTTTACAACAAAAAGCTTCACCATTGGATGAATGGATCCAAAAAACAGTGGGGCTCGTCATAAGAACAAAAAAGAGAAGCCTCATTGATGTCGACGTGTTTTCATGCTTGCATATAATACTATGCTTTCTCATAGGTTTTGGCACTAGAGCAATAATCACCAAATTTGTTAGCCAGAAGTGAATGAAGTTGTTTCGAATACTGTTTAAAGTATGCGACATCAGCCTGAACACATTTCTGCTATCTCCCAGACAACAAGTCGATACCGCAAACACAGAACTTATTATCCTTTAGTTCAAACAGCTGCGAGTACTCGACGTAAATGATTGATGCCTCGGAACTTCTTCTTGCCCAGGAAGTGCTCTAGCGACGACCGGAAGAGATGATAGTTAGGTGGCGATAAGTCAGCATTGCATGGCGAAAATCCAGCAGCTCCTAGCGCATTCGATCAACTTCTTCTTTGTTAATTTGGCAATATGCAGCCTTTCGTTGTCTTCAAGCAGGATGAGACTGCGACGACGTCGGCGTGACAGGCCCGATTGCGGTGGTGCAGGTGCGCGCAGTAGCGCTTAATGTCGACCGTCTCTCCGGCTGGCAGCAATTCCCATAAATTTGGATTATAGCAGAAGCTATTTCAATTACTTCTGGTTGATAAATTTGTATTTATTGCTCTCGTGCCCAAAATTTATGAGAAGAGCCATTGTTTGGTTGACCCTAAACACTATGCTGCACTTTTAGGTCGAATCGTTGAATATCTGCTCTCTCAAAATTCAGGCAGAATATGTTTCAAGAAAAAACATCACTAGGCCAAAAATCCAGGATGAAGAAATTGTGGCAGCTGAGCGAAAGAAAAATTAGAAAGCTATAAAGCTAATGGGCTCAAGTAATCGCTTCCTTAGTAAAACAGCTATTCACAGCTGGAATCTTCTTACACTGCCCAAAGCCGCAGCCGAATTCACCGATGGCTATTCGTACTACCTTCATGAATAGAACGACTCGACGAATGGTGGGAAAGCTGTGGAACCTACATGAGTTCCTACGAATAATCAATTCCAGTGGATTGCCAATCTCTTCACATAGGCGATAATGTCTTCAGTAGTAAAAAAAGTATATTTGATTGTATAGAAAACGGGCAGCTTAGAGGCCTAAGAAGCCAGCTTAGAAGCA